TTATACACGTTATTGGTTGTTAAAAAATGATATAATAAAAAAAATAAACGGTAATGCCATGAAGTTAATGGAAAAAAAATCGACATAGAAGGAAATATTGTACTGTACTGTACTGATTGTTTGAATAAAGGTGGTGGTTACGCCACGAAAGAGAAAAAAAAAGTTAAAAGTAAGATAAAGGCATAAAACACCGGGTATTTCCAGGCGGTCTTTCTATATACCTTTTTTCCAATCAGGGAAGTCTGGTCCAATTAAGATATGAATTTACTTATTGCCAGCAGTTTGGCAACAGCTTGTAGAACAGGTACTAAGGTACTGCAAAATTGTAGTTACGGAATAATACAAACTTCTACTTAAGCCTTTAAAAATTTAAGAATAAATGAAATAACTGTAAATGATTTAAATCATATTCGGAGAAATCATTACTCGAACTATGGCAATTGGTGGTTGGGTCGAAAGCAAAGTAGTCGAAAGTTACTCTAGGCCTAGAGGGCGTAGTCAGAAAAATGGCGTCAAATCAAAACAAGAAGGAAAATGAAACCGATGATGATTCTGAATTTGATTGTCATGGAATAATGATAAATAAAGATAAGAGAGATGCTATGGCAGGCGGTCTTTTAGATTTACTAAAACCTGCCGTCGAAGAAGTTGACCTACGTGTAAAATCTGTAAGGTATGACTGAACTGTGATAGGCCTAGGCCCTAGGCCGGTCTAGGCCTACCTAGGCCCTAGGCTAGCCCTAGACATATACCTGTAGGCCCCTAGGCTAGGCTACTCCGAGGAGGGCCTAACTAGCTAGGCCTAAAGGCTAGGTAGGGGTGCCTAGGCCTAGGCTAGGTAGGGTGTAGCCTGTAGGCTGGTAGTAGTAGGCTAGGCCCAGTCTTAGGCCTAGGTAGAGAATAGCTAGCTGGCACTAGACCTCTGGGCTTAGCCAAGCCCTAGGCCTAGAGCTAGGCCTATACCTTGTAGTTGGGCTAGGCCTAGCCCTAGGATTAGGTCGAGGAGCCTTAGAGTAGTCTAGCCTAGGCCTACCTAGTAGGAAAGGAAGGAGGGCTTAACCCGGCTAGCAAGCCTCCTAGCTAGGAAGGAGCCTCCAGAGTCTATGTAGCCTAGGTAAACTAAGGTTTATCGCAAATCCAATTCAATTGCATATAACAGAGATTTGAAAAGGGGGCAATAATATTACCACCGCTTGATCGGTAGCAGATCAAAACGGCAACAGACCAAAATGGCGATGACAAATATCAAGCGCCGGCAGGCGCCGGACGAACTGTTTAGATGTCTCATTTTGTCTGTATTTTAAAGTTTTATTTATTTAGATGTTTACTGCTTTTATGTGTTTTTTTGTGATTCTCCTAATCCTTTTATTATTAAATGTGTATGTTGTTAGCCTATGTTTTTGTTGTTGTTGTTGTTGTTGTTTTTTTGTGTTTTTTACTTTTATGACATCAATTGTTTTAGCCTCATTTTGTCTGTATTCTAAAGTTTTATTTATTTGAATGTTTACTGCTTTTATATTTTATATTGTGTTTCCCCCAATCTTTTTATTATTGAATTTGTATGTTGTTATATTGTTGTTGGGCTTGTTATTATTAGGCCTGTTATTATTATTATTATTATTATTATTATTATTATTATTATTTTATTATAAATACATTTATCAGTGAATCCAATGTAATCCGTTTGTGTCCTGAAAGAAATTCCTGAAAGGATTTATTACCAGCGCAGGCCTTACTTTACAGTTTGGCAAATGACTAATGACAATAATAATGACTACTGGGGTCTACTAGGTGGTTATCCTACAGTAGGTAGGAGCCTAGCTGAGCAAAGGCCTAGGCCATAGTTTTGTGCCTAACTACTACTAGGCATAGGCTTAACTGGGCCTAGCATCCTACCTAGGCCTGTGCATTGGTAGGTTGTAGGACCTTGTGTTGAGTGTGGATTAGTAAAGCCAAGCACTCTACGCCCAGCTGTCATTGGCTGACGTGACTCTATGGAGAACACAATGCCGCAATATGCACGCAAGAACATATTGCTTTTAATGACAATTAGCAGACATCATGTTTTCCATCACTAACAAGGAGTGGAGTTAGATTCTATTCTGTTGCTATCGTTGCAAAATGTGTTAACCCGATGCCATTTTCTCCACTGACAAACCATTGATCCCGATTTCTAATGTAATTATAAAGATGTTGTATCTTACTTTTTCCTTGTAAATTTTAATTGATGATTATATATGTGTTCGATAAATATAATGCGAGCTTTTGTGTTTTTAGTAAATTTTGATGGTAAAATATTAAAGTTTAAAATGCCTATTCCAGAAAGCCTATGAAGTCATTCAGGCATAAGGAACGGTAATCTACGTCTGCTGACAAAGAGTGCGCCACCTGGCGTCAAGACGACACGACTGTGGTACTCTAGTGCATTGTCAAATGCTGCCTTGTTTTTAATAATTTGACTTGTTCTTTTTCATAGAGAAAGTCAAGTAGAATTACGGCAACATATAGATGATCTTGATGAAGGTAGGTTTGTTATTTTCAATGTCTCATGCCAAGATTATTATTATGACAGAGTTATGTAGTAATTTCCATGTTATTAATAATATTAAGGTAAAGTAAAAACTTTATAAATTCACCAAGCACAAATCAATGAATAAGAATTGATATATCATGTAATTGTGATGATTTTGTTCTTCTTCCCTTACAAAAGTTTTGAAGCATCTGGCTACTGAAAAAGAGGCCCCCATTGAACTTGATGCTTATGTCAAAAAGCTTACTAACTGTAAACGAAAGATTACTGTCATAAATAGCATATTACATAATGCACAGGTATGTATCAAATTTTGATCTCTTTGTAACATCCAGGGTCATTTGTAACATCTAAAGTAATGTTTTAACATCCAGGTTCTCTTTGTAACATCCATTTCTTGTGTCATCAAGGGTTTCTTGAAACATCAAGGGTTTCTTTGTATCATTTATCGTCTCTTTATGAAACTACAGTCTCTTTGTAACATCCGCACTCTCTTTGTAACATCCATGGTTTCTTTATAATATCCAGGTTTTATATGGGTCATCTACAGTCTTTTTGTAACATCCACCATCCAGTTATTGTTTGTAACATCCAGGATCTTTTTGTAAAATCCTCAGTCTCTGTAACATTCTTGATCTCTGTAACATCCTTGGCCTCTGTAACATCCATGGTCATTTTTGTAACATCAACAGTATTTTGAACATTAATGGAAGTCTCTTTGTAACATCCAGGGTTTCTTTGTAACATTCAGGGCCTTTTTGTAACATTCAGGGTTTTATTTAATATCCAATGTGACTGTGATATAAGATATAAAACTTATTCCTATTATACTAAACACAAACATCCTTGTAAAAATAAGCAATACATGGATTGAAGAAAGTACTTTCTTCAATACAGCTTTACAATATCTTGAAGGTTACCCGGATACATCCAGGGTCTCAAATTAATATAGAAAAAGATATGCTAACATCATCAAGGAAGCAATCTATGTCCTTTATTTGTTGTTGATGACATTTAGGTGCTTGCAGTATTGTTTTCGGTTTTTCCCCCCAACTATGAAACAAATGAAATGTACTTCCTTTTACATTATGAACAAAGGTGACTGTTACATTATCCAAAGTGGAATTTAAATTATTTTTATTATTTGTTTTTTTCTAATTTTATTTAATAATTGTGCTAGATTGTTTGTTTTCATAATTGTGTTAAATAACTGTATTTTTTCCCCCAGTTTTGTTTCCCATCAAATAGTTTATGAAAGCGTTAAAAAGTATATTAATTTACAGCCATTTTATTTGCAAAATAATTACTTTATCTAGGAACGGCTTAGTCGTCTTCACTACAACATTTCTAGAGAGAAAGCTAAGAAAAAAGCACAGCTGGAGCCCCCGACGTTATGGCCTCAACTCTGAGTTGAGTTCAGTTGAAAGTTGGTTTCTGTTTGTTTAAAACATGCACTTATTCATGTTTTTATATACTGTAACAGTTTGTGTGCATCTAGTTAACACCCTACAGTAGGAATGATAACTTGAATGTTTCCTTTTGCTTTAATGTAGAATTTGAAATGCAGTTAGTAAGAATACATTTATATTCCATCTCTATTTTAACTAACATAAATGTTGCTTTTAAATAAAAATGAAGGAATGAAATATAGGCAACTTAAAATGAATGGAAAATGTTGCCTTGTATTTTATGTTGAATTATCCAATGCCTGTACTTGATAATATACTAGCAAACATTTATTCCTTTACATTTTCATTTTCAATCAATTAATCAATCAGTCTTTTACATTATTACCAGTAGCCTCTATATAGAAGTGTATACCATAAATTAATAGATTATTACTTGTGTTTCTCATGACTGTTACTTGCTTTGAGTGTGTTTATCTGTGTTCTTATTGGTTGATGAAAGTTCCAAGCACAATTTAACATTCTCCTAATATGAAGGTACAGCAGTATATACTGCAATGTGATCATGAATCCAGTTGAGATTCTGAAATATAAATTTCATTTATTATTTAGTTTCTAATTTGGACTTAGTATCTTTAATTAATATTCAAAATTAATTTATATAAACTTTATTAAACATGATTTTGCTTTAACCTTCATATTAATTTATCTACTTGTTAAATCGACTTAATTTGCACATATTTGTACAGCTAAACTTGCCTAAGTCGACTGTGCCTAAGTCAAATAATTTTTAAGTCGATCTTATTTTGCATGCCAAATTTTTCCATAAAAGTCAAATTTTATCAAACAATATTTCAATGGCATTTTGGATTCGACTTAGGCAAGTTCAATTGTACTGTATGATTATTTATTTTTCAAATTAACATAAACCACTTTTAAGCATTGCATGCAATACAGAATGATGTTTTCCCCTGCTTTGCTTGTACTGTAGTAAACAAAAGCAGATTGTAGATTTAGTACTGTGTTTGCCTTTGTAGCTGCTTTGTTCTTCTTATAATACTTTTTTAAACGGTAGTTTTATGTTTCTAATGTAAGGATTATAAAATGCACATTGATTGTGCTGCAATCCAAATAAGTACAGTAAACGCATTTTGTGATTAAAGACGAAAAGTTTGGCAGACTACAGTATGTGCCTTGTGCGGTCCCGCCATGTTGTCCCGCCATGCTATACTACCTTGCTGTCCCAATATATCACTTCTCTTTGGCTGTATGCATTGTAAGTTAATCTGCCATTCAGTGTTTATTCTCTATATTTTCAGGAAAGATTACAAAAATTGAATCAGCGGATCAGCAAGGTTACTGGAAAACGAACCTCAATGCTCTATCTGCTGACAGCCAACCAGATGCCAGACGTTAGCAGTGTGTCACCACCTGTGCAATAATGCGAACAACGAATAGGAGCAGCTCATGAAGATGCTTTTTAACGGATGTTTCCATATTAGGAATAATGGAATTATTATATATTATTACTACATGGCTAGCACAATCTGGAGCTTGGTTGATAAGATATGTCCCTTGCAGTCCTGCCATTCTGGGCCTAATCCTGGCATAAATTGTCAGACATATAGATATTTCCATGATGAGCCTCAAATGCTGGATGTGCTGATAGTAATCAGAAAAACAGTAAAATGACATTGTGACTTCAAACTATAAATTATATCTTTTAAATTATGTTATTATTCTGCATCACTAATTAATTCATTATGCAAACTGAACTAAAATAATTGCACTGTGGAATCTGCAAACAGAAAATGGTGATGTCAGTCATGCAATGTGCCGGTATTTTTCATTATGAAATAGAAATATAGTAATGATTTAATCTCGTGATTAATTATCAACCAATCAAATTTCAGGAATCTAAACAGGTGTATATAAAATGGAATTGTTTTAAGACATGAACAAAATTTTAAACAAAATAACAAAATATTCTTCTTACATTCATGACAAATTATCATGATAGAATTTCATTATGAATTGATTGGATTGGATTGAATTTCTTTGATGTGATAAAAACCAAGGATAACCCACAAAAGTCCGAGACTTTCCAGTGGGCCTGTTCTTTTCCAAAAAATGAGTGTACTGTGTTCTCTAAAGTGCACATGGGCCATTTTGCACACAGGACCAATG